CCCAAAATGGGCGATTAGCCCGAAGTAGTTCTCTACCCTATCGTGGAAAATCTCCCTTCATTAAATTTTGAGCTATACTTGGCATAAACAGCGAAATCGTTTACAAGCTTACAAACAATATTGCTTATTAGCGGCGCAGGTGGTGCAGTGGTAAGCGTGATTGCCTCTCACCTCAGCAGGCCTGGGTTCAATCCCAGTCGGCGCCGCCGGGATGATCTGAGGCATAACATCTCTGATCACGCCTTCCTTCGGAAGGGAAGTAAAGCCGTTGGTCCCCGGTTCATGAGTTGATGTAATGGGTCAATAGGTAGGGTCCAAGTGTGGGAGCTGCCTCTCTGGCGTCGGTAGCATTGGTGCTCGCACGGAAAGCAAGATCGACGGAAAACAAACCAAAGAAAAAATTGCTTATTTATGCTATATTGCGTTTAACTTTACAAGAAATATCACGTAAATTTGTGCCAAATATAGCGTTAATTTTATGTGCGCTATATCTCACAGAAATTTACCCCTCCCCATGGACATGGAGGTTGACGGTACTGAAGCAAAGGGTTATGTTTTATTTCTTTATATTTGCAACAATGATGATTTCCTATAGTGACACATATCACCTTCTTAATGCTTCAGTATGCCTCAAACGATTAATTATTGGTTGTTAATAGAACTTCCTTGATAAAATCGGCTGCTTCATACAGACTGAGCAATTCTGATTGTAGTATCAGATTTGTTCTGTATATAGAGGAACTGCACAGCAAAAAAATAATTTTGATATCACGTCAAAGTGGATGCACTACAATCATGTCGAAAATATGGTGTAATATTACTTGCTAAAAAGGACAAAATTATCATTAATACAATGCATGAACTGACATTACGCTGCTTTTACTGCATTTGTTTATTTATGTGGTCATAAAAATTACATGAAATTTTCGACATGATTGTAGTGCATCCACTTTGATGTGATATCAAAATTATTTTTTTTGCTGTGTGGAAGGGCTTATTAGAAACTTCTCACCAATAATGTAACGATCTTCTAGTAAATTTTGCATATTTTTATTAATATTTTATTTTATTTAAGCATATTATTTTTGTTACAGTCAATTAGCATTAGCATACGATACATGAGATTGAATATTACTTGCTCGTTTTGCGTTAAATAATCAATATTTATTTAACTTGTAATTACCTTTGAAAGTTTTTTTCAAGTTTTTTTTTTGTGATCTGAAAATTTTCCCAGTTTGGTTAGAAGTTTCCAAGCTGAGGCATGTCCACAGGCCTAATAGAAAGAAAAGCAGAAAAAGTGTATCATGAAGAATGGTTGCTTGCAGGGTTGCTTCCACTCACTTACTATACATGAGTGATTTTCGGAGTTTTGAATTCGTTAGATGTTGTAATGAAGGTTTATGTTGTTGGATGCGGGAGGAGATTGGAGGGCGGGTGTTTGACGCATAGAGCCTGTCAATTTCGCTTCCAGAGTGTCACAGTCAGCGGTTTTATGATCCGTGAGCGCTCGCGATTCGTAGAATCGTTGATTGTGACTGCAAGTGGATTTGGCGGGTTTTGTGTGACAGACGCTTGCTTTTTGGCCTCTTCTTGTGTCTAACATGTGCAGAGTATCATTATACCGTCTAATAGTTTTGAGATTTCTGGTTGCGTGAAATATATTTGTGAGAATATCTTTTTGAGATTTTAGTAGTCACGTTTTGTTTGTAGTTTAAATTTTATTTCTTTCATGTAATCATCGTAAATAATAGTTATTCAATAATAGATAAACACTTAGAAATCATTACCGAATTCGGTAATTTTTTACCGAACTTTCAACAGCTGATCGTTCGGTAATCCGTTCGGTAAACGATATGACGATAAACACTTTTTTTTTATTAAATGTCAAAATGACCGAACGATTCGGTAATTTTTACCGAACAGTTCGGTCATTCTTACCGAACGATTCAGTATTTTTTAAGTGCTTTTTACCGGATTGTGCCGTAGAACTAAAAATATAAACGTTTTTTTTCTTCTAATTTTCCCGGATTGTTTATATTAAAAGTGCTTTTTTACATTAATATTTCATGTTTTTATTCATCATTAAAATTATGGCCCTGTAATGATGTTGGCATACGCTTTACGAAATTTACTCAACTATAAAAGACTGCAAGATTACTGCAATGCGTGCATAAATGTTGTTCCTGTTGTAGACAAAGTTTCAACGCTAATCATTGCTCTGAAGAATAGGAAGAATTGTTTGTGCCGGTACAGTATCAAAAACGAAGAACGATAGGATCAACATTTCAAACGCTTCCCTCATTCCACGTCCAATTGGAATCGCCAGCATATTGCGCAATCGTTCGTGTCTTCCAAAAAAAATCAGTGATGCGTTCATCCTGGTCTTGTATTTGCTTCCATACCTGTACCATAATAAAAATTACACAACTTTCACTGGTCACACTTCACACTGATCTCACTTCTCTCAGCTTGCGGTTATGTGTAAAAAAAAGCCGTCCCACGATTTCACAGTCTGAATGTACCGAAGTTCGGTTAACGGATTTGATATTTATAGTGTGTTCGGTAATTTTTTACCGAATTCGGCGTATTTTTTTTACAGTGTTCGGTAATTAAATATTCGGATTACTGAAACTTCGTTTGAACTTTACCGAATATTGGTAAAATTAAATTTTGTTACCGAAAAATCTGTAATATTCTGAATTTACAGATTTTTTTCCCGGTAAAAAATTACCCAACACGCAAATCGTCGATGAGTGTGTAGTTCATCCATATATTCGTACTTTGACGCGATGCTCGATGACCCTGGAGGGATCGATTTTGCTTACTGAGCAGAAAATCACAATAAATCGCCACCATCATTTGTATATTTGATATTGAACATTAACCTCCGTAGTTCTGTATTGTCGCGAAGCGTTATGGTTCTGAGATGCTCGATGACCTTGGAGGGATCGTTTTTGCTTACTGAGCAGAAAATCATGGGTTTATTCCCAAGCTCTCCGTCATGACTCTTAAAATTCATGATCACTAAGCAAAATGAATATGTTCTTTCGATAGTCGGCTATCGAGAGATTAAATAAACAACAAATAAACAATACATACTTTCGGTTGCATCGCCAACTTGAGGTGAATCCTAACCGAATACCCAACCCAACCCTCCAACTCCGTAGTACTTATGAGGGTGTCGCTAAGTCGGTGTCCTCTCGTTACGTAAGTACTACATTAACATTTCCTTCCCTATCCCTAGTTATGGTAAAGATGGGCGTGGACGGGAATAGCGACGGTCATGCTTCTGTTACTCTTGTTTAGATTGGAACCAATGTTTACTCTCCAGCATTATTCCTGAAAGTAGTCTAACTGAGAATTTCAGAAGAGACGTGAGTGTCACTAGTATCCAATCTACGGAGTATATCTTAACAACGCTAACGCTAACGCTATATCTCATAGAAATTTACATGTATTTTTCAAACGGTTTACTATGTTGCCAAGTGAAAGGGAAGGGTACATGTACATTCATACACACAAGTACAATCATACAATCAGGGAATTCGAGAAATGATCCAACGCGAAAAATTCCTTCATCGGATCGGGAATCGAACCCAGCCACTTACAGCTTAGTCTTGCTTTGTAGCTGCGCCTTTATCGACTGAACTAAGAGAGGCCCCAAAGGCAAAATTTCACTTGGCCTTTGCTTTTCGAAATGAACGACCGTGGTTAATGAAAGGCCGCAATGTTCATCATCTTTTGCACGAGCCCCGTTCCCACTTGTTTGGCATCCTAATTACATTTCTGCTTGAAATCCTTCAGGTCAATTTTTCTGCAGAGTATGCTTCACAATTGACCAGTATTCCTCATTTGGCTTTAGTTCCGGTCGGATCCTTCTCCTTGGGAACCATTGTCCGGCCAAAATAGGCAATTCACCTCATGCTGCTCCAGAAAAGGTAGTATTCTTTTCCTTAAGACTCCTCTTTCCTTTTTGCTGGTCCCAGAAGTAACGAAAGTTGCGCTTTTCAGCCCACAGCTGCACTCTTCCGGTCAACCGAGGTATAAAATTTCTGTCCAAGAATTTGATCGAAAACTGCCAGGAGCGGAATGACCGTGATTTTCATTTCGAGCGTGCAGGATCGAATCGCGACGTGCTTGCTTCGGTGAAGCCATGATGTAAACAAATGAACCTAACAACCAATGCCTACTGTGATTCTATGCACTCTTAGCTTGATTCAGTGAAATTTTGAAAAGTTTTACTCAAAAAATGCCCTAATGGTAGCGTTTTTAATGTGTCCGGATTTTTTCGTGTTCTATCTTTATTTAAGAAGATCTTAGATGTTCACACACAGTTTTTTTCCCCTTTGGAGTAAGCATTATCCTAGAAACAACTGATTTCTCCAAACGTGAGTACTACATGGCACACTCTACATGCAGCGTGGTGAAAATGTATCACACTCTCATTCAGCAGCCCCCTTCCCCCATGTTTTCCAAAATCACCGTTGTGTGAAGGTACGTCAAATGTCGAGCCAAAATAAAGCAGTCACGTTGAAGCCTTGCGGGAATTTACCGATATACGCCAGTCAATCGAAATATCATTAGATACGGCAGTTTTGCTGTTCTGGTTTTCGGATATGACAAGGACTCTTCTCGCTCGGTTCTACATTACAAATTCACATGGGAGAAACCGGTTGCTCCATTTCATACCCAAACGGCACCTGAGGCTAGTATACAGCGCAAATTCGATTTCTCTGTCGGATTCTGATTTCCTGAAATCGAAAATGAAGCGATTAGTTTGATAGACATTGAATTTATGGTAGTGATGTGTATTATTGGAATTCCATTGAAATTTCCGAACACTTCTTGACGATAACAGCAGCGTCAAAAGTGTGGGTAATAAACAATTGTTGTGAAGCGTGGTTTGTTTTTCCGTTTGCCATTGCTGTCGTTTATTTGTTTCTCAACTGTTAGTGAAACTTTTACTCAGATATTGTTTCCCTTCCCTTCCTTTTCTGCAGATTATCAGTTATGACTCACCACGAGGTGGCGTCTCAGTCATTACGGAGAAAGGTGACACGACCACGTCGTTCCTGCTCATCCAGAATGCTAGACCGTCTGATTCTGGACAGTATACCTGCAATCCGTCCAATGCCAAAAGCAAAAGTGTCACCGTGCACGTGCTGAATGGTAAGTACATTGAATAAAGTTGACTTTTGAGAACATCAAACACTCTTGATTACATTAATCCCCACCATTGAGTTTAAGAACAGCCTGAGAGAAAAATTTGACAGGTGTTTCCCATTCTGTTTCCAGGGGAGTTCCCAGCAGCAATGCAGCGCGCGGGCCAACCGCATCATCGCACGCCCCAGCATCATCAGCTGTCGGTATTTCTGTCTGTTTTTATCTCATCGCTAGTGTGCTACAGGCTGGTCATCGGACGCGGAATGCTTGCCCCGACGTAGCTATTTTTCTAGACGCCTACGCAACCTTAGTCCTTAGACCGTTTCTGTTACTAACGCACACAATCTATCGAATACTGATCAATCAAATTACGAAAACCAATCATCGCCTAGCGTGTAACTTCGGTAGCAGCATACGAGCGCCATCGGCCCTAGTGGCGATGCTGGTGGTTTTGTTTCAACAGCTGCTCCTGCTACTAGAAAAACCATTATTACCCCAATCCCTGCAGCAAACCACTTCTTCCCTGCCGCAACGGTGGCAGCATAACCACTGTCGGAGGATATCGAACCTAAGGTTGTTGTCACTGGTGGAGCCCGTCCTTCCGCGACGGACACTGGAAACGATAACTCGAATACTCCGAGCGGTGCTACTTAATCTTAACGGACACACATTCGAGTTTGTGTTGAATCACTTGTGGAATCAAAGGTTCGCAGTTAGATGAGAAAATTTTAATCTGTAGGTTAATCAATCATGATGGTTATTGTAAATTCAACATTGACTAAACAAAATATAATGCAAGAGAAACTTATAAATAAAATGAATAAATGAAATCTAGACTAAGGTGATCTGTTATGAATAAGCTTTAGGTATCTATGACTAGAATCAATGAATGAGTTAATAAAATTTCAAATTCATTTTCCAAAGGAAAGCAGCTAAACGAAAAGTGGGCGGTATATTCTGAAAGAACGAATACTGTATTAATTTTTAAAACCACGTTGAAACGTTATGGTAAAAGAGTATTGGTATTTGAGTGATATTTTCATATTAAAATTATGACGAAGGAAAACAAAACCCGAGAAAATATAATGAACTATGAGAAATACCATAAAACAATATATGATAAATGAATGTACAAAATTATGGACAGTATATAAAAGAAATAAACCTAAAACGTAAACCAACCATTACTTGTTGGCATGCTTTTCAATCCATCCGAATGCTTTGGGTACTCTGTAACAAGTCAAGTGATTTTATCCGAATTGTAAAGAATTTTGATCATGGTGGAATTATGCCAGCAGCATGCCGATTTAGCCAGTTTCAGTTTCTCGACCATACAACACTTCTTAGATTTTGCTCCAATTAATCTCATCACTTTGCACGCTGGACAAGTATGATGAAGGTCCACTGAATTTCATCGGTAGGGATGTACATCCCATAGTTTGTCATGCATCGAGTTAATCGCAGCATATGATTGTTTCGCAGGGCTCTGAACATTTATTACATACAACATTTCTTCACGTTCACATGGTCTTCACATCTATAAGCCGGCAGCAGCTCTCGTAACTAGACTGACGGTAAGGATCACGCCAAAGCAATGCACAGTGGTTTGAATGCTCAATATCACGAACTTTTTTATTTGTGCCTTCAATGTTGGTTTTTTCACTATGATGTCTTTAAAAGAGTTTTTGCATAAAATAAGGCGCAAAGACTAGTGATAGGTTTTAGTTCGGAACTCCACCACAGGCGGCGCTGCAAAATCTTACTTTTTACATTTACAAGATAGGTATGTGATGTCTTCAGCAAAGTTGTAGATAATTGTACTACAAAAATCTTTGCTGAACACACAAATCCTCTATATTCCTTAGTTTTTGAGATACGTAGCTTTTAATATGACTGTTCAACAAAATTTATTTATTTTTTCACTTTTTATAACATATTTAAAAAACTAAAGGTTTTAGAAGACTATAATGTTCAACAAATATATGTATTTTATCACAATACAAAACTTTGTTCAAGACGTCCAAAAGGTATCGATTACACAGACTGAGTTATTCACAAATTTAGTAAAAAATTTTTACATATTTTGTGCCCTCACAGACAAAAATCCGGCAAAATCCGGCAGGTGAATCTTGAATAGGATGAAAGCTTGTTAAAAAGTGATATCAAATTCCATTGAAACTTTTGTCCCTTTTAGTATCCTCGTTGATTGTTTTGTATTTTTAAAAGGTCGTTCCGTAGTTTAGTGTCAGCGTGCATTTGTCAAATACTGAATCAAAGTAGGCTCAGTGATAATATAACAAAGTTTGGTCACACATTGATCGGTTTTGCAGCATTAAACGCATATTACTTAGAAAATGTGAAGGTTATTTTTTCAACATTTCCGTAGCAGATCCCAAAAGTGAGAAAAGCATGTCTTTCAACAATGAAGGTAAGTACAACCATGTAGTTAATAAGGTATTCAGTGTTAATTTCCAATTCATGCTATAAATGAGTTATCTATGGAACAATTTCAAAAATAGTTTAAATTATAAGTTATCAAATAAAATTTCAGTTGAAATCGACAGGGGAAAGCTTTTTAAACTGTGGAAAGAATATAAGGGAAACGACATTGATAAATCAAACGTTGTGTCGAGAGAAGTTGTTGACCTTTACGGCATTGAAACATAATCAATGCCGTAACAGTCAAAAACTTCTCTGGACACAAGTGGCAGCTGAAATCAACTATTTTGTGAAGGCGACATGCAAAAATTAAAAAAAAACTGTGAGAAATCCACAACCGGACTATGCTTGAAAGCAGTCGTGGTTATTTTGATAGCCCCTTCAAACTACCACAGAAAGCTGTTGATCGTTTCCCTTGTACTTCTGGATCTTCCCGTCGTGGAAGAAAATCTTTGGCGTTCGAAGAAAGCAGCGAGGTTGTTAAGAGACGCAAGACGTCTGCAATGCGGTCTAACTACCCAACAGATGAACTTGCATTTGCAACCCAAATGAAATTACGTGAGGACGGTAAAGAAGATGGAGCGTTCATTGTAAAACAGGCAACGCAAACAACTCCGACAAGAGCCGTGAAAATGGGTTCGGCGCTGCAGTCATCCAAAAATGGTTTTGTACCCTATTCGGAGACGGAAGCTCTTGCGTTAATATTGGATCTTAATTTATCGAAAGACCAAAGTGAAACTAAAGGATCTCTTGGAGCACACGACAATGAGGATTGTTGATGCAAATGCGTGCATGCTGGAAAAGTTTAGTGATGACGAATTGGAGAAAATGATGATTCAGTGGGGATTTGATGGCACAACTGGATTAAGTGAACACAAGCAAGCACTTGACGATGATGACGGAACTAAATCCGATGCAAATATGTTTGTTGCATCCATTGTGCCGATCAAATTGGAATCAAATGGGAACATTTTCTGATCCTCTCATCAGCAGCCTTAAAGCATCTCGAGACAAGCGATGTGGAAGAGAAAGATGAAAATGTTTTTGAAAACAATATTGTGTAACCTTTGTTAATATTTTTGAAATATTTATATATACATGCATACAATGATGTATAACGTAATACGTTAAATCATTTAATTATAATATAATAATAGCTAACTGAAAATTATATATTACCTTCAAGTAGACTACTGTGATTTATGATTATGGCAATTACTCTGATGTCCGTGGTCAAGACCTTTTTGAAATGCAAAATAATCAACGAGGATACTAAAAGAGACAAATGTTTCAATGGAATTTGAGATCGCTTTCATCCTATTCAAGATTGCCGGATTTTTGTCTGTGAGGGCACAAAATATGTAAAAAAAATTTACTAAATTTGTGAATAACTCAGTCTGTGTAATCTTTAACTTTCAGACGAAATGAACAAAGTTTTGTATTTTAATAAAATACATATATTTGTTGAACATTATAGCCTTCTATAACCTATAGTTTTTTTAAATATGTTATAAAAAGTGAAAAAAATTAAATTTTGTTGAACAGTCATATTAAACGCTACGTATCTCAAAAACTAAGGAATATAGAGGATTTGTGTGTTCAGCAAAGATTTTTGTAGTAAAATTATCTACAACTTTGCTGAAGTGTAAATGTAAAAAGTAAGATTTTGCAGCGCCGCCTGTGGTGGAGTTCTGAACTAAAATCTATCACTAGTCTTTGCGCCTTATTTTATGCAAAAACTCTTTTAAAGACACCATAGTGAAAAAACCAACATTGAAGGCGCAAATAAAAAAGTTCGTGATATTGAGCATTCAAACCACAGGGGCAAAAAAGTGCACAACCTTATTTGAGTGGGACAACTTTTTTGTTCCAAATTCAAAACAAATTACATTTTATTTTAGCATAGGTGCTCCAGCTACTACAGTAACTTCTTCTTTTTCTTGTTCGCATTTCAATCTTATTGCTTATTGTAGAGCATATTAGCTTATTACGTGCTCTCAACTTAGTGTTCTAAATGCACTTCCACAGTTATTAATTGAGAGCTTTCGATGCCTGTACCATTTCTGCATTAGTATAATTTTGTGTCAAGCACAATGATACTCTATGCCCAGGGAAGTCGAGAAAATTTCCAACCCAAAAGATTCCCTCGACTGGACTAGGAATCGAACCCGCCGCCTCTGGCTTGGTAATACCGTGCCTTTACTGACTAAGCTATGAGGACCCTACTACAGTAATTTACCAACCTTTATTGTTATGTTTTTATATTGAACAATTGGCAATTCACTATTTTAAACAGGTTTTCAAAATCTGCATGTCAGTATAACAATTGACATTTTACAACTAAAAACTCAAACTTAATCTTATCTAAGTAAAAAGGGAATTGATCGTTACATTTCAAGAATTATTTTGTTGGACATTTGTTCGAAAGCTCTCAACATTCGAAAATCTATGTACCTCGGTAGTACTGTACCATATACTGTAGTATATGTACCATATACTGTAGGATCGTCACCATCCGCCGCTACTGGTGACGTTAAGTACTAAGCTGATGCATGATTTTAATATTTCACCTGCCACCGTTTCCTACGATTTTCGCAACGCCGACCATGGTAGTACCGCCGAGTTACTCTCCAATTTAGATTGGGACGACTTAGTGGACACCGTTGACATTGAGTCCGCCGCTCAAACTATTTCAAATGCCTTGGCATATATCATTGACAGACACGTTCCGAAAAAGATTCATCATCATACGACCCATCCACCATGGCATACGAGCGAATTTCATCGACTGAAATCCAGAAAGAGAGCCGCTCTTAGGAAGTTCACCAAGCACCGCACACTATCCCTTCAACGTGACTATGTCAGGATCAATCACGCATACAAACGAGTTGCGAAACGGTGCTTTCTTCAGTATCGACGTGGATTGCAGAGAAAGCTTAAGTCACGTCCCAAGCAGTTTTGGAAGTTTGTCAACGCACAACGCCATGAAGCTGGTCTGCCGTCGTCTATGACACATAATGGTAACGTGGCCTCATCTACGCAAGATATCTGTCAGCTGTTCTCTGAAAAATTTGCTAGTGTCTTCACGGACGAGAGACTGAGTGACGACCATGCCCGACTGGCTGCCAGTTACGTACCACTCTCTGGCCAAACCATGAGCAGAATTGACATCAATCCCGAGATGTTTTTCAGGGCTTCCTCGAAACTCAAGTCGTCGTACAATCCAGGTCCTGACGGAATTCCATCGGCGTTCCTCAAAACGCACTTGGACAGTTTGTTGTCTCCACTGCTGCACGTTTTTCGACGGCCTGTGGACGTCGGAGTTTTCCCATCCTGTTGGAAGCTAGCGCACATGTTTCCAGTCTCCCTCCCCATGGACATGGAGGTTGACGGTACTGAAGCAAAGGGTTATGTTTAATTTCTTTATATTTGCAAAGATGATGATTTCCTATAGTGACACATATCACCTTCTTAATGCTTCAGTATGCCTCAAACGATTAATGCTTGGTTGTTAATAGAACTTCCTTGATGCAATCGGCTGCTTCATACAGACTGAGCAATTCTGATTATAGTATCAGATTTTTTCTGTATACAGAGGAACTGGGAGGGCTTATTAAAAACTTCTCACCAATAAAGTAATGATCTTCTAGTAAATTTTGCATAAAATTTTATTAATATTTTATTTTAATTAAGCATATTATTTTTGATATAGTCAG